GCCGGAAACAAGTGTCCAGATACACCCAACACTGCTATAGATATGATTCATCAAAAGTATACTCATGCCGGAAACAAGTGTCCAGATACACCCAACACTGCTGTAGATATGATTCATCAAAACTATACTCATGCCGGAAACAAGTGTCCAGATACACCCAATACTGCTGTAGATATGATTCATCAAAAGTATACTCAAGCCGGAAACAAGTGTCCAGATACACCCAACACTGCTGTAGATATGATTCATCAAACCTATACTGATGCCGGAAACAAGAGCCCAGATACACCCGACACTGCTGTAGATATGATTCATCAAAAGTATACTGATGCCGGAAACAAGTGTCCAATGCATCATCAGTTTTTGGCAGTGATATGGGGACTCTTGATTAAATATTTTTATTGATTAGTTAATTAATTTGCCCCTGAAGTTTCATAATGAACTATTCCAACCTTTGAATCAGAAGGGTTCAAATGTGTCTTCAGGGGTGAATGAGTTAATCAATATTTATGTGTACTCACTAGTTCACCGGCCGGTTTGACATCTGGTTCCTGCATACCCTGGGCCTCACCTTTCTTTTGGACTAAAACAAAAAAAATAGAAATATTTTCATAATTTTACTTGGGAACAAATTTAAATACTATCAGAGACAATTGTGAATTTCAAATCTTATTCGGTGATAACCAAGTGTTCTGAAATGATGCTGATTCGGTGATAACCAAGTGTTCTGAAATGATACTGATTCGGTGATAACAAGTGTTCTGAAATTATGCTGATTCGGTGATAACCAAGTGTTCTGAAATGATGATGATTCGGTGATAACCAAGTGTTCTGAAATGATGCTGATTTGGTGATAATCAAGTGTTCTGCAATGATGCTGATTCGGTGATAACCAAGTGTCCTGAAATGATGCTGATTTGGTGATAACCAAGTGTTCTGAAATGATGCCGATTTGGTGATAACCAAGTGTTCTGAAATGAAGCTGATTTGGTGATAATCAAGTGTTCTGCAATGACGATGATTCGGTGATAACTAAGTGTTCTGAAATGATTCTGATTTGGTTATATCCAAGTGTTCTGAAATGATGTTGATTCGGTGATAACCAAGTGTTCTGAAATGATCCTGATTTGGTGATAACCAAGTGTTCTGAAAAGATGCTGATTTGGTGATAACCAAGTGTTCTGAAATGATGCCGATTTGGTGATAACCAAGTGTTCTGAAATGATGTTGATTCGGTGATAACCAAGTGTTCTGAAATGATGGTGATTCGGTGATAACCAAGTGTTCTGAAATGATGGTGATTCGGTGATAACCAAGTGTTCTGAAATGATGGTGATTCGGTGATAACCAAGTGTTCTGAAATGATGCCGATTTGGTGATAACCAAGTGTTCTGAAATGATCCTGATTTGGTGATAACCAAGTGTTCTGAACTGATGCTGATTTGGTGATAATCAAGTGTTCTGCAATGACGCTTATTCGGTGATAACTAAGTGTTCTGAAATGATTCTGATTTGGTGATAACCAAGTTTTCTGAAATGATGCTGATTTGGTGATAACCAAGTGCTCTGAAATGATTCTGATTTGGTGATTACAAGCGTTCTGAAATGATGCTGATTTGGTGATAACCAAGTGTTCTGAAATGATGCCGATTTGGTGATAACCAAGTGTTCTGAAATGAAGCTGATTTGGTGATAATCAAGTGTTCTGCAATGACGCTTATTCGGTGATAACTAAGTGTTCTGAAATGATGCTGATTTGGTTATAACCAAGTGTTCTGAAATGATTCTGATTTGGCGATTACAAGTGTTCTGAAATGATGCTGATTCGGTTATAACCAAGTGTTCTGAAATGATGCTGATTCGGTGATAACCAAGTGATCTGAAATGATCCTGATTCGGTGATAACCAAGTGTTCTGAAATGATGGTGATTCGGTGATAACCAAGTGTTCTGAAATGATGCTGATTCTGTGATAACCAAGTGTTCTGAAATGATGATGATTTGGTGATAACCAAGTGTTCTGAAATGATGTTGATTCGGTGATAACCAAGTGTTCTGAAATGATGCCGATTTGGTGATAACCAAGTGTTCTGAAATGATTCGGATTTGGTGATTACAAGGGTTCTGAAATGATTCTGATTTGGTGATAAAAAGTGTTCTGAAATGATTCTGATTTGGTGATTACTAGTGTTCTGAAATGATGCTGATTTGGTGATAACCAAGTGTTCTAAAATGATGCTGATTTGGTGATAATCAAGTGTTCTGCAATGACGATGATTCGGTGATAACTAAGTGTTCTGAAATGATTCTGATTTGGGGATTACAAGTGTTCTGAAATGATGATGATTTGGTGATAACCAAGTGTTCTGAAATGATGTTGATTCGGTGATAACCAAGTGTTCTGAAATGTGCTGATTTGGTGATAATCAAGTGTTCTGCAATGATGCTGATTCGGTGATAACCAAGTGTTCTGAAATGATGCCGATTTGGTGATAACCAAGTGTTCTGAAATGATGCTGATTCGGGGATAACCAAGTGTTCTGAAATGATACTGATTCTGTGATAACCAAGTGTTCTGAAATGATGCTGATTCTGTGATAATCAAGTGTTCTGAAATGATGCTGATTCTGTGATAATCAAGTGTTCTGAAATGATGCTGATTCTGTGATAACCAAGTGTTCTGAAATAATGCTGATTCGGTGATAACCAAGTGTCCTGAAATGATGCTGATTTGGTGATAACCAAGTGTCCTGAAATGATTCTGATTTGGTGATTACAAGAGTTCTGAAATGATGCTGATTTGGTGATAATCAAGTGTTCTGCAATGACGCTGATTCGGTGATAACTAAGTGTTCTGAAATGATTCTGATTTGGTGATAACCAAGTGTTCTGAAATGATGATGATTTGGTGATAACCAAGTGTTCTGAAATGATGATGATTTGGTGATAACCAAGTGTTCTGAAATGATGATGATTTGGTGATAACCAAGTGTTCTGAAATGATCCTGATTTGGTGATAACCAAGTGTTCTGAAATGATGATGATTTGGTGATAACCAAGTGTTCTGAAATGATGATGATTTGGTGATAACCAAGTGTTCTGAAATGATGATGATTTGGTGATAACCAAGTGTTCTGAAATGATGATGATTTGGTGATAACCAAGTGTTCTGAAATGATGATGATTTGGTGATAACCAAGTGTTCTGAAATGATCCTGATTTGGTGATAATCAAGTGTTCTGCAATGACGCTTATTCGGTGATAACTAAGTGTTCTGAAATGATTCTGATTTGGTGATAACCAAGTGTTCAGAAATGATGTTGATTCGGTGATAACCAAGTGTTCTGAAATGATGCTAATTCGGTGATAACCAAGTGTTCTGCAATGATGCTGATTCGGTGATAATCAAGTGTTCTGAAATGATTCTGATTTGGTGATAACCAAGTGTTCTGAAATGATGATGATTTGGTGATAACCAAGTGTTCTGAAATGATCCTGATTTGGTGATAACCAAGTGTTCTGAAATGATTCTGATTTGGTGATAACAAGGGGTCTGAAATGATGCTGATTTGGTGATTACAAGTGTTCTGAAATGATGCTGATTCGGTGATAACCAAGTGTCCTGAAATGATGCTGATTTGGTGATAACCAAGTGTTCTGAGATGATTCTGATTTGGTGATTACAAGTGTTCTGAAATGATTCTGATTTGGTGATTACACGTGTTCTGAAATGATGCTGATTTGGTGATAACCAAGTGGTCTGAACTGATGCTGATTCGGTGATAACCAAGTGTTCTGAAATGTGCTGATTTGGTGATAATCAAGTGTTCTGCAATGACGCTGATTCGGTGATAACCAAGTGTTCTGAAATGATGCTAATTCGGTGATAACCAAGTGTTCTGCAATGATGCTGATTCGGTGATAATCAAGTGTTCTGCAATGATGCTGAATCGGTGCTGAAATGATGCTGATTTGGTGATAACCAAGTGTTCTGAAAGGATGCTGATTGGGTGATAACCAAGTGTTCTGAAATGATGCTGATTTGGGGATAATCAAGTGTTCTGCAATGACGCTGATTCGGTGATAACCAAGTGTTCTGAAATGTGCTGATTTGGTGATAATCAAGTGTTCTGCAATGATGCTGATTCGGGGATAACCAAGTGTTCTGAAATGATGCTGATTTGGTGATAACCAAGTGGTCTGAACTGATGCTGATTCGGTGATAACCAAGTGTTCTGAAATGTGCTGATTTGGTGATAATCAAGTGTTCTGCAATGACGCTGATTCGGTGATAACTAAGTGTTCTGAAATGATTCTGATTTGGTGATTACACGTGTTCTGAAATGATGCTGATTTGGTGATAACCAAGTGTTATGAAATGATGCTGATTTGGTGATAATCAAGTGTTCTGCAATGACGCTGATTCGGTGATAACCAAGTGTTCTGAAATGATGCTAATTCGGTGATAACCAAGTGTTCTGCAATGATGCTGATTCGGTGATAACAAAGTGTTCTGAAATGATGCTGATTTGGTGATAACCAAGGGTTCTGAAATGATGCTGATTCGGTGATAACCAAGTGATCTGAAATGATGCTGATTCGGTGATAACCAAGTGTTCTGCTATGATGCTGATTCGGTGATAACCAAGTGTTCTGAAATGTGCTGATTTGGTGATAATCAAGTGTTCTGCAATGACGCTGATTCGGTGATAACTAAGTGTTCTGAAATGATTCTGATTTGGTGATAACCAAGTGTTCTGAAATGATGATGATTTGGTGATAACCAAGTGTTCTGAAATGATGCTGATTCGGTGATAATCAAGTGTTCTGCAATGATGCTGAATCGGTGATAACCAAGTGTTCTGAAATGATGCTGATTCGGTGATAACCAAGTGTTCTGAAATGATGCTGATTCGGTGATAACCAAGTGTTCTGCAATGATGCTGATTTGTCAATAAAAAGACATCTGTAATCTGTATCATACTTCTAATATGTAAATTCATACACAAAACGAAGTAGCTGAAAATCTAAGCAACGGGGGATTTGTTAACGAAAGCTCCTCTGTCATGAAACCTGAGAGAAGCATGGATAGGAAAGTGATAATCCTTGTACATATTCTTGTTAATTATATATATTGGTCAACAATTTTGTGGACAATTTGTACATAGTTTACACTTTTATGTACATACGCTTCACGAGTCATTTGTCTGATGAATGTGACAGAGTACATACCGTACATGTTCACATAAACACACTTTTTGGTTGTGCTACATGAATCTTTTCACAATACATACTTACCTATCTGAAGAAAAAGAATTTATAAAAATTGGTATATGGGGCAAGGAGGTACATGTAGTTCCAACAGTGTTAACAATATAAGGTTGTCAACTTTTCAGAACTATCTGCTCCTTCATAGAGAAATAGAACAAGAGGCCAGCAATGGGCCTGCATCGCTCACCTGGTATAAAACTCACACTTGTAACCTTAAAAGTGATCTAAAATATAGCTACAGGAAAAATATCAGTAGTTATGATTAAAATTCATTCAAAAGACCCTGTTATTTTTTTTTTAACATTTCACCCCT